GGAAGCGCCCTACCTTACCAGAATTTTTTTTAAATGGTGGAAACAGTACATTGAAGACCCACACAGAAAACATAAAAGGATGACAGACTTCTTTGAAGAGGAACTCTATGATGAAGAACCTGAAAATCTAGAAAGTGAAGTGAAAGCCACTCTGAAAGCACTAGGAAGAAATAAATCATCAGGGGTACACAGAATACCAATAAAATTTCAAGCCAGAGAGACTGAATCTGTCAAAATCCAAAAAGGAACATGTCAACAAATATGGAAAACAAAACAATGGATCACAGACTCGAAACATTCAATGTACTGTACATTCCAATCTCTAAAAACATGCTAAGGAGTGCAGTAACTACAGGACAATTGCTTTAATTTCCCATGCAAGCGAAGTGATGCTCAAGGTGTTGCAACAAGAGTTTTTACTTTAAATGGAGTAAGAAATGGCTGATATTCAGGCTGAATTTCAAAAAGGAAGAGGCACTCAAGATCATATAGCAAATATTTGCTGGCTACTGGAGTGCAACAAAAAAGGTCAGGAGAAGATCAGTCTATACTTTATAGACTATATCAAAGCTTTTAATGGTTTTGATCATGAGCAACTATAAGTTGTTCTGAAATAAATGGGTGTGTCTCCGCACTTCATAGTCCTGATGCATAACCTGTATTGTGAACAAGAAGCTTCTATTAGTACAGAATATGGAGAGGTAGAATGGTTTCCTATAGGCAAAGGTGTCATACTAAGGTGCATTTATCCCATTATCTTTTCAGTCTGTACGCAGAACACATCAACTGAAAAACCAGACTAGATTTAAATGAAACAGAAGTGAAACTGGTGGAAGAAACATCAATAATTTAAGATAAACAGATGGCACCGTCTTACTGGCAGAAAGCAGCAAATGACTTGAAATGATGTTTAGTGAAAGTGAAAGAAGGAAGTGCCAAAGCAGGACTGTAACTGAACGTTAAGACAAAAATCATGTCTATAAAAGAACTACACGACTTTAACATTTAAATGAAACAGAAGTGAAACTGGTGGAAGAAACATCAATAATTTAAGATAAACAGATGGCACCGTCTTACTGGCAGAAAGCAGCAAATGACTTGAAATGATGTTTAGTGAAAGTGAAAGAAGGAAGTGCCAAAGCAGGACTGTAACTGAACGTTAAGACAAAAATCATGTCTATAAAAGAACTTCACGACTTTAATGTTGGCAATGAAGAAACTGAAATAGTGAAATATTTTGTATACTTAGTTAAATAATCAAACCAAATGGAGACTGCAGCCAAGAAATCAGAAGAAGACAGTGACTTGGAAGGGCAGCAATGAAGAAATTGTAAAAGATCACCAAGTGGAAAGATGTGTCATTGGAAACCAAGACCAAGATCATCCACACTTTTGTATTTCCCGTTACCATGTATGGGTGTGAAAGCAAGAGACTAAAGAGAAGAGTTTTGCAGATAACCCTGAATTATATCAGAAAGACAATGAAGCAGGTCCTAGCATAAATCAAGTCTGAACTCTCGGGAGGCAAACTGGGACTGTCATACTTCGAGCATATCATGAGAGGGCAAGAACCTCTGAAAAAGACAGGCTAAGAAGACCTGAAGGCAGCAGGAAAAGAAGAAGACCAGTGGTGCCTCGCTAGACAATAATCCGTTGCACTGAAATCGCTGTTTAGCGAAATCACTGTCTAGCGAAAAGCATTTCCCCATTGGAATGCATTGAAACCTGTTTAATGTGTTCCAATGGGGAAGAATCGTCGTTGTCTAGCAAAGATCGGCCATAGGAAAGCCGCTTTGCGAACCACCAACCAGCTGTTTAAATTGCTGTCTTGTGAAGCTTAGGTCCCCAAAATACCTGTTTTACGAGCGCAGAGGGAGCTGTCAAAATCATCGTCTAGTGAGAATCGGTTTGCGATTCTCTGGGGAATCACTGTTTTGCGAATCGCTATAGCGATCGCAAAAAGTCAATGTCTAGCAAAAAAAACTGTCATGCAGGGTAACTGTCTAGCGAGGCACCACTGTACAAGATGGATCGGTTCCATAAAAGGGGCACAGGCTTGAGTTTGCAAAAGCAGCGCAGGGCTGTTGAGAACAGGACATTTTGGAGATCTCTCAGTTACCATAGGTTGGAGGTGACTTGATGACATGTAACAACAAAAACACCTACAAAGCAAAGCAAAGCAAAGCGCTGCCTGGCTCAAGAGATACGTGCCATTTTTAACTTAAAGAATTTCTCCATAGTAAAAGTGGCAGGAAACTGATTCAATTTCTGCCATGCAACCAGTGATGGCACCAGAACAGTAAGGGGCTCTTTCTGCTCCATTCTCCTTCTTGCCCATGCAGCCCCAAAGGTAAGATCTGGTGGGCTCAGTTCAGTGCCACTCTCATCCTGGGGGATTTCTTTCACATTCAAATAGCACAGGGCTGCAACCCTTGACAGATGGTTCTTGCTTTGATTTGCAGCATACTCTGATCAGCCACTGCTGCCGCGGCCACCAGAACACTGCTATTATCTCTCTGCCATTATCTATCGTACACTGAACATCTTCCCTATGGCCTGGTAGTAGGAACCAACAAGTTAACCTGTTCCCCTGAAAATAAGACCTAACCTGAAAATAAGCCCCAGTACTATTTTTCAGGATGCTCGTAATATAAACCCTACCCCCAAAATAAGCCCTAGTTAAGTGAAACCCCTCCCTCTACCACTGTAGAACAACCAGAAGATGACATGACTGTATTTTAATAAACGTAGATTGTCGTACAAGAAAAAAAAACATTCCCTGAAAATAAGCCCTACTGCTTTTTTTGGAGCAAAAATTAATATCAGACCCTGACTTATTTTCAGGGAAACACTGTACTACTTGGTCATCTAGTAACTAGTTTGCTCGCAATTTTTTCCTGACCAGAAAAATCAATGCTAATTTGAGCCAAGCTGAAATTCTCCATGTAAATCCTTTCAGTGATAGGAAGGAAAAAGGAGAAAATATAATGTAGCTTGATTAGGATAGCTGGTATGGTCTTGATGCCTTGAAAAACTCTGCCAAGTGAATGCAGCTATTAAAATAAACGACAAATGCAGTTAACAGTGTAATGAGCATCAAACCAAAATGCACACAGGAAGTGAAACAGACTCTGTGCATTCTGAAAATGTAAGTTTACATCAGCCACTGGTGTAAAGGGCAGAATCCATTTAACAAGTCTGACATACAAAGGAGGAGGAGAATGCCTCTTGATGAATCTGACTCACACTTCAATACAACTGTCTAAGTTCCTGTGCTCCTGTTAGGCTGGCGACAGTGGTGCAGAATCAATACTGCTTAATTAAAATATATAACCTTGTAACCTTCTTCATGACATCTAGCCTTATCCTAATAAGAAGGTGCACCTGCATTGCACCACTAGATCAGTCTGACACCATTTTAACTGTCATAGTGCCGTCCCAAGGAATCCTGGGACTTATGGTTTGGGGATGTACTTAAAAGCCTCTGCTCAAAAGCTCCAGGTGTTGTTTGCACAGAATTCTAAGTATTTAGTGTCAAGAAACCGACAAAAGAGCAGTTAATAACGTCCTGTAAAATTTGGGCATGTTGACTTGTGCCAGAGAAACGTGGAAAGGAGGGGGAACAAGTGTCTGTTAATTAGGAGGCAACTGGCAGCTGGGTATTACCTGGTGGAAACGAAGATCTCTCCGGCACCATAATTAAGTGAAAACTGGCTTCAGATGAACTGAAGGGAGGTGAGGGGAACATCAGGAGGATGAATTAAGTTACTTCGAAGAAAAGTTACTCCCGTCTGGAAGGTTTGGGGAAACTTAGAACGTAATTGATGGTCAGATGAACTGAAGGGAGGTGAGGGGAACAGCAGGAGGAATTAAGTTACTTTGAAGAAAAGTTACTCCCTTCTGGAAGGTTTGGGGAAACTTAGAACGTGATTGATGGACTGCCCTTGAAAGGTCTGGAAAAGTGGATGATGTTTATAAAAATGACATAGAAAAATTAGTTATTTTGGCTTAGATTCTCTTAGGACAGTGATTCTCAACCTTGGGTAACCCAGGTGTTTTTAGACTGCAACTCCCAGAAACACGAGCTAGCACAGCTGGGGGTGAAGGCTTCTGGGAACTGTTGGGTTGGGAACCACTGTCTTAGAAGACAGACGTGCTCTTTGCTAGTTTGCACTCTGCATATGCTCTGGAACTATGCATCAGTTTTGCTGTATAGTAAGTACGGTATTAGTAGCTTTATTATTTTCTTTAGGAATTATTACTGAATTGCCCAAGGCTCAACTCTTTTGGAATAAGTACTGGCTTCATACTTTTTATTGCTTTTGAACCTTTTAAACTAAGTTTTGAAACTGCTCTGAATTCTATTGTCTCTTTTTGACTTTTTGGAACACTCAGTAAAATAATAAAACGTTCACAGTGGTGTAGCTATTTCGGGAATAGAGGGTTTTGTTGATACTAATTCCAGGTCTTACTTTAGGCTTCTACTGGATCCCTTACGTTTTACGGATATGTTTGGATTTTCTACCTGGCAAGGTTGGTGTGCAAATAAAAGTGTACAGTTTTGGCATTCCCTGGAGCACTTGGGAGTTAAGAGTGGGACTGGACAGGAAGATTTTCCCCAGCCATGAGCACAGACTGGACAGGAAGATTTTCCCCAGCCATCAGCACGCTGACTCCCTGGAAATCACCCACACCAAGAAAGCCAGGGTAGTGTGGTTGAGTGCTTTGTGTGAATCTCTGTATCCCTGCCATCATCTTGACACTTAATCAAACTATAGATTTCATAATTCCCAAAGATACATTCTCAGAATTAGCATGGTATGAAACTGTGTAGGGCAGGTACAGTATATTCTATTTTTTGAAAGCACCAATATTTTGCTGCTGTGGCACAGCCTGGAGTCACCACAGCCACGACAATAACAGAGACCACATTTCTGCCACGGGTTTCAACTTCTAATGCCAATGCATCACAGTGCAAAGCACAAAGAATGATTACTTACAGTATAGAACTCCTGTTGATAAAATTAACTTCAAAGGTAGAAGCCTCAGGATCCCACTCCAGTAGGTACCTATTAATAGAATAAAGCATACTGCATAAGAAGAAAACCATGATCCCTGGCAAAGCCAGCAGAACTATTAGACAGAATGAAGCAACTGTGTACCCCAGGTGACAAATATAGGATGAAGGGCAGTAATGGCAGCCCTTTTACTGGTTCTCCTGAGCTCCATGGGTCATTCTTTCCCATTGAAGGATAGAACTGTGTGTGCATCTCACAGCCTGCCCAGTATCCCCTACTTTATCCTGTGTAGCCCTAAGGTCCAGTTTAGGGCAAGTGCCCCATCACCCAGGCTGAGATAACACCCAACAGCTTGCCCTGTTAATGTCTGCATGTGCAACCAGCATGGTGTTGTTGGAATGTGAGACCAAGACGCAAGAGGCCTGGGTTCAAATTCCCTCTGGACTATGAAGTTCATTGAGTGAATGAACTCTCTTTGCCTGACCTATCACACTGTGTCAAGCAGGGAGGGGGGAGCCATGTACACTACCTTAAGGTTATTGGAAGAAAGGCAGAATATAAATATAACAAATAAATAAATAAAAGGAGATCATCTTGTCTTTCACTTGGGTAGCAAAATGCCTCTGGGCCAGACCATCATACTGTACCGAAAAGGAGATCATCTTGTCTTTCACTTGGGCAGCAAAATGCCTCTGGGCCAGACCATCCTGACCTGCCCTCCCCCGGCCAGCATACTGTACTCCCCTCTGGTGTCAGGGGTGGGTTGGCTGTTGGCTAAGAGGAGGCAAATGGTAGACCACTGGGGATAAGTGGGCAAAGCCTGTACTGGATGCTCCAGTTGCCATAGCTCTGTGGCTCCACTTTTATGTGAATAAAGTTTGGTTTCAAGGGATCTCAGAACCAAGGCATTGTGGGAAGCCAAACATTTCTGGTCACCCCACAATGCGTTGGATCTGAAGATCCTCAGAATAAACTATAATGTTGACTATGTGCCATCAGGTCAATTCCAACTTACATTGACCCTTCTCATGGTTTTCGTAGTACAGTATTGAAAAGTGGGGGCGCTCTAGAATTTGTAGCTTGCCCAAGGCCACACAGACGGGCTCTTACAGATGGGCTCTTCTCCTGCAAGACACCCTGGGGAATCGAACTCCCGGGCGCCCTGGTGCTCCCACCTCAGTGAGCCTTCTCCCACCAAGATCTACCCGTGTCACTCGTGCGAGCCAGGAGGTGAGGCTGAGGAGCCTAACGCCGAGAGAGGCCCGGAAGGAGAAGACCAGAAATCGGGCCTTCTCGGCGGTGGCTCCTCGTCTCTGGAACAACTTACCTCCTGAGATTCGCGTGGCTCCCTCGCTGGACATTTTTAAGAAACAACTAAAAACATTGATGTATAGGCAGGCTTTCCCAACAGAAAACTCCTGACGATTTTTCTTTTCTTATATCTTTCTTTGATTTCTATCTTAGTCTAGGTGCAATGTTTTAAAATTATATTGTTTCTTTTATTGTAAGCCGCCTAGAGTGGGCTAATATGTCCAGATAGGCGGGATAGAAATAAAATAAATAAATAAATAAATAAAAATTCTTGGAACCAAGCATGATGGATCTAAGTGGCAGAAGAGCAGCTTTGCTACTGATGTGGCAACGGACAAAGAAAGCTCCATCTTTGGCAACATTGGGCTCGTTACCAAGCATGATGGATCTAAGTGGCAGAATAGCAGTGTGGCAACGGACAAAGAAAGCTCCATCTTTGGCAACATGGGGCTCGTTCGCATCTTCTCCTTCAGTCCTTCCCCTGAGAGTTGCCATGGGGCTCTGGCAGTGGGGAGGGGAACCAAGGCATTTCTTTTCTTGTGTTGGGCACTGAGAGAGTTTCCACCATCTTGGCAAATGGAGTAGTTAAACACTATCACCAGGGGAACCAAGGCATTTCTTTTCTTGTGTTGAGCAAATGTGGTAGTTAAACACTATCACCAGTGCTTAATTAGCCTTTGATATGATAAGACTTCATACTACAAAATCATGATAGTCCATGGCATCAGGTCGCACAGTGTCTGAGGCTGGCCTTGCTTTCCCTTACAACATTTTTAGTATACAGTCAACCCTTGACTTACGAACGTCCCTATATACGAAGTTTTCGATTTACAGATGGCTCCATTCGCAAAAATTGGCATCGATTTGCGACTGGAGCCTTGACCTACGAACGAGGTCGAGGCTCCGTTCGCAAGTCAATGCCATTTTTTGTGAATGGAGCCGTTCGTCACCTTCGGAGCTCTCAAAGGGCTTCCTCCGATGTCGTGGGGGAAAGCCCTTTGAGACTTCCGAAGGTAATTTTTTGAAATGCTGGAACGGATTAGTTCCGTTCATTCCCATGCATTTCAGTGGGAAATGGTACTTCGACTTATGAACTTTTCGACGTGCGAACGCTGTTCCAAAACGGATTAAGTTCGTAAGTCGAGGTACTACTGTATAGACAAAAGTCAGAGAGCATCAGTTCCTCTTACATACATTTGTGGAGTCCACCCTATGATAGAGAGTAGTTGCGTGTCATCTTTTCGTCCCCCTGCTCCCCCCCATTTGAACAGCCACGTGAAGACCATGAAGAAAGAAATGTTGAAACCAATTGTCACCTCGCTCCAAATTTATAAGAAAGAGAACTTTATTTAAAAATTGCAGCTGGCAGACGTAGTGTGCAGTTATGGTGAGAACAATATGGATCTGGTCCTAACATTTCATGTTTCATTTCGTCTTCCAATAGCTTTAAAAGTTAAACTAGTTTTACAGCTGCATTTGCTACAGTGGAATTTTGTTTTATGACCAACTTTAGCGTGTAAAGGTTTTATACCATTTACACCATTAGATTCAGAGATTTCCACCATTAAATGAAAAGCCAATATGACAAAGTGAACAGAATGTTAAGCTGAGAGCCTGTGAATGTTCACATCACATCTCTAAGTCACGTACCCCTCACTTTTGTAGCTCTAGAACATAAATTAGATGGACACAGAATTTAATTTCTAACAAGGGAATGCATTCAGTTTTAACCTGGATCAAAAAAAAATTGTACAGTTGAAAATATTTTATATATTGTCCTGCCTGAACTGAAGGAGACATATACTTTACACGTCAAAGCTACCCAGATTGGTAATGAAATCTTATTTCAAAAGTACAGTAGCAATAAGATCGCACCCCTTCCCTCCATATCTGAGGACAGTATGTTTGCTTAAAAGTAAGATAGACATAGTGAACCTGCAAGACCACAAGAGGCTTTCCCTGTGGCTGTCCAGCCTCCCAAGCCCGTATCTCTAGACACTTCTGATTTTGGAAGGGGAAAAAAGCATGTTGCTACCTAAAATAGCTTTGGGGGATCAAGAAACATGGCAAAATTGCCTCTTTGCCCACCAGATGTTGTATGGAGCATTTTTCAAGTCAACCTTTGGTCCTAGGGATTGTCAGTACGGGGGGAGAAGGCCTGAAGACTATACACATCTTACTTTGAACCTACTTCTCTGGACCAAAATGAGATATGTACCATCTCTAAGACAATGGAAGATGCTCACACCGGGGCCCACAGGCAGCTCTATCCGCTAGTGCCTTGCTATTCCTCCCTTGTTATTGGCCAACTCTCCTTCCTTCATGGCTAGGATAGCCTTGAATGTACACACACAAGAAATTGGAGTATGTGATTGGAGGGCAGGAGGCCACTAATTTTTGCAAAGTTCTGTGTCATTGCTGACACATTTTATGGAACAAAACCACATGACTAAGGCTTTTAAAAAAAACCTGGATGCAAATACAGTGGTGTCTCGCTTAACGAGCGCACCGTATAACGATTAAATCGCATAGCGATCCGTTTTTTCAGATCGCTAATGCGATCGCACGTTTTTCCCATAGGGAAAAATTCGCTTTGCGAAGACCGGTAAGCGTTTCGCTTACCGATCTTCGCAAAACGACCCCCGCCGATCAGCTGTTCGGTGGCCAAAATGGCCGCCGGAAGCTGGGAAATGGCCTAAAATGGCCACCCGCAGCGTTTTCGTGCCCTCGTTAAGCGAGGCGGGGGCGCGAAAATGGCTGCCGGCCATTACGAAGCTTCGTTAAACGGTGAGTATTTGGCCCATTTGGAACGCATTAAACCATGTTTAATGCGTTCTAATGGGCTTTTCTGTACCATTTAACGATGCTTCAGCATAGCGAAGGTTAATCTGGAACGGATTAACCTCGCTATGCGAGGCACCACTGTATGGCTTTCTCTAGGTACTGTTGGAGGAAATTTGTAAATACTGTATGCACTTTGGATTAAAAATTCCATAATGCTTCTTTCTGAAAGTCTCATCCAAAGACTCAGCTCTTACAGACACTTAAACTGTGTATCCCTGGAGAGCAGATCCAGCTGGCAGGCTTCAAGCTTTAGATAAGCTTAGCTTCCTGTTGGAAAAGGAAGTTGCTGGGAAGCTTCCTTTTCAAATAGGAAGCCAGGCATATACAAGGCATGAAGCATGGTCTTTCTCTCCGGGTGAGGATAATTCAGATGTCTGTTAAGGTCTGGGTTCTCTGGGTAGGACTCCCAGAAGGAAGCATTATCACTTTCCCTGTAATTACACACTGAAAGAGAGAGAGAGAGAGAGAGAGAGAGAGAGAGAAAGCTGTGTTTTGCATAGACATTTTCTTTCCGGGCCTCAACTTCGTCATATAAAACCCCTCCTGCATACATGCACTCCAAGTTCTGCTTCTCAGTGATCCACTCTTCAAAGCAACACCTTAAACAATTCATATTTTGTTAATTGTATAAGCCTAATGGAGGAATGCGTTGGCACGAAAGGCTAATGCCATCAGGCCAGCAATAAAACAAAATTAATGGTCCATAGGAAGAAATCATGTCCACTTAATATCATCTTTGAAGCTCTAATAAAATAATGTGATACCCACGGCAGCTCTTTGCTCGCTCGC